TTCGGCTTCTTCCTGGTTTAGGCTTGGGAGGCTGCAAGTGTCCAGGAATTTATCAATTTCTCCCAGGTTTACTGGATAATGTGCATAGAGTTGTTTGTAGTAATCTCTGATGGTAGTTTGTATTTCTTTGGAATTGGTGGTGATATCCCTTTATCGTTTTTTATTGCATCTATTTGATTCTTCTCTCTTTTCTTTTTTATTAATCTGGCTAGTGGTCTGTCTATTTTGTTGATCTTTTCAAAAAACCAGCTCCTGGATTTATTAAATTTTTGAAGGGTTTTTTGTTTCTCTATCCCCTTCAGTTCTGCTCTAATCTTAGTTATTTCTTGTCTTCTGCTAGCTTTTGACTTTTTTTGATCTTGCTCCTCTAGCACTTTCAATTTTGATGAGAGGGTGTCAGTTTTAGATCTTGCTTCTCATTTGGACAGTTATTGCTATAAATTTTCCTCTAGACACTGCTTTGAATGTGTCCCAGAGATTCTGGTACATTGTATCTTCATTCTCATTGGTTTAGAAGAACATCTTCATTTCTGCCTTCATTTCATTGTTTATCCAGGCAACATTCAAGAGCCAGTTGTTCAGTTTCCATGAAGTTGTGAAGTTCTGAGTTAGTTACTTAATTCTGAGTTCTAATTTGATTGCACTGTGGTCTGAGAGACAGTTTGTTATGATTTCCTTTCTTTTGCATTTGCCGAGGAGTGATTTGCTTTCAATTATGTGGTCAATTTTAGAGTAGGTGTGATGTTGTGCTGAGAAGAATGTATATTCTGTGGATTTGGGGTGGAGAGTTCTGTAAATGTCTGTTAGGTTTTTTTGGTCCAGATCTTAGTTCAAGTTCTGGATATGCATGTTAATTTTCTGTCTCATTAATCTGTCTAATTTGACAGTGGAGTGTTAAAGTCTCCCACATTATTGTGTGGGAGTCTAAGTCTCTTTGTAGGTCATTCAGAACTTGCTTTATGTATCTGTGTGTTCCTGTATTGGTGCATATATATTTAGGATCATTAGCTTTTCTTGATACATTGATCCTTTTACCATTATGTAATGCCCTTCATGGTCTCTTTTGATCTTTGTTTGTTTAAAGTGTGTTTTATCAGAGACTAGGATTGCAACTTCTGCCTTCTTTTTTCTTTTTTTTTTTTTTTTTGCTCTCCATATGCTTGGTAAATCTTCCTCCATCCCTTTATTTTGAGCTTATGTGTATCCTTACATGTGGAATGAGTTTCCTGGATATGGCACAGCAATGGGTCTTGACTTTTTTTTTTTTTTTTTTTGGGTCTTGACTCTTTATCCAATTTGCCAGTCTGTGTCTTTCGATTGAGACATTTAGTCCATTTACATTTAAGGTTAATATTGTTATGTGTGAATTTGATCTTGCCATTTTGATGCTAGCTGGTTGTTTTGCCCATTAGTTGATGTAGTTTCTTCATTGTGTTGATGCTCTTTACTGCTTGGTACATCGTTGGAGTTGCTGGTACTGGTTGTTCCTTTCTATGTTTAGTGCTTCTTTCTGGAGGTCTTGTAAGGCAGGCCTGGTGGTGACAAAATCTCTCAGGATTTGCTTGTCTGTAAAGGATTTTATTTCTCTTTCACTTAAGAAGCTTAGTTTGGGTGGATATGAAATTCTAGATTGAAAGTTATTGTCTTTAAGGATGTTGAATATTGGCCCCCACTGTCTTCTGGCTTGTAGGGTTTCTATGGAGAGATCTGCTGGGAGTCTGATGGGCTATCCTTTGTGGGTAACCTGACCTTTCTCTCTGGCTGCCCTTAGCATCTTTTCCTTTATTTCAACCCTGGTGAATCTGACAATTATGTGCCTTGGGGTTGCTCTTCCTGAGGAGTAACTTTGTGGTGTTCTCTGTATTTCCTGGACTTGGATATTGGCCTGCCTTGCTAGGTTGGGGATTTCACCTGGATAATATTCTGAAGAGTGTTTTCCAGCTTGGATTCATTCTCTATGTCACATTCAGGTACACCTATCAAATGTGGATTAGGTCTTTTCACATAATCCCATATTTCTTGGAGGATTTGTTCATTTATTTTTACTCTTTTTTTCCTAATCTTGCCTTCTCATTTTATTTCATTGAGTCGATATTCAGTCTCTGAAAGCCTCTCTTCTGCTTGGTCAGTTCAGCTATTGAAACTTGCGTATGCTTCATGAAGTTCTTGTGTTGTGTTTTTCAGCTCCATCAATTCATTTATTTCTTCTCTAAGCTGTTATTCTTGTTAGCATTTCATCAAACCTTTTTCAACATATTAGTTTCTTCGCATTAGGTTAGAGCATGTTTTTTAGCTCAGAGAAGTTTGTTATTACCCACTTTCTGAAGTCTGTTTCTGTGAATTCATCAGACTCCTTCTCCATCCAGCCTTGTTCCTTGCTGGTGAGGATTTGTGATCTCTTGGAGGAGGAGAGGTGTGCTGGTTTTTCATCCTTTTTGCACTGGTTTCTTTCCATGTTTGTTGATTTATCTACCTGTGGTCTTTGTAGTTGGTGACTTTTGGATGGGGTCTCTGAGTGGACATTGTTTTTGTTGATGATAAAGTTATTTCTTCCTGTTTTTTAGTTTTCCTTCTAATAGTACCCTCTGCTGGAGTACTGCTGGAGGTCCACTCCAAACCCTGCTTACCTGGTGATCACCTGTGGGGCTGCAATAAGGGTTGCTGCCAGTTTCTTCTTCTGTTATCTTTGTCCCAGAAGGATACCTGCCAGATGTCAGCCTGAGCTTTCCTTTATGAGGTGTCTCTTTGGATATACAGGGGTCGTGGAGCTGCTTGAAGTGACAGTATGTCCCTTATAGGAGCTCAAGTGCTGATCTGTGAGCTTCGTTGTTCCATTCAGATCTGCTGGGCAGGTACATTTAAGTCTCCTGCAGTGGAACTCATAACTGCCTTTTCTCCCAGGTGATCTGTCCTGAGAATGTGGGGCTTTATTTATAAGTTTCTGATGTGTTTCTGCCTTTTTTCAGAGATGCTTTGCCCAAGGAGGTGGTAGCCTAGTGATAGTCTGCCAGCATAGGCGGTGCTGAGCTGCCATGGGCTCTGCCTAGCTGCTGTGTGAACTTCCTTGTGGTTTTGTTTATAGAGGTATAGATTGAACTGCCTCGGTAATGGCTATCTGTCTCAGTAATGGTGATCTGTCTCAGTAATAGCAGACTATCTAGGTTATGGCGGACTGCCTCGGTAATGGCGGACTGCCTTGGTAACGGTGGACTGCCTCGGTAATGGCAAATTGTCTCAGTAATGGTGGACTGCATCAGTAATGGCGGACTGCCTCAGTAATGGCGGACTGCCTCAGTGGTTGTGGACTGTCTTGGTAATGGCAGACACCCTTCCCCCGACAGAGATGGACCATCCCAGGTCCAGCTTGCTGTGAAACTCTCAATTCAGAGAATTTCAAATTGCTGGTATTTGTGGGGGTGGGACCCGCCAAGCCAGATCACCTGTCTCCCTGTTTCAGCCCCCGTTTTTTCAGTTGAATGGGCATCTCTATCTCCCAGGTGTTCCTGGTGCCAGTTGAAACAGCATCCAGATTTGTGTGAGTTTTTGTGTGGAGATCCACTGCGTTGGCTAAAATAGCCATGCTGGAGACTCGTCACACTTTTCTGCCTGGGAATCTCCTGGTCTGTGGGCAGTAACGATTCGTTTGGAAATTCAGTAATCACTCATCCTCTGCATTTTCGCTGGGAATTGCACTCCAGACCTGTTCCTATTTGGCCATCTTGGATTTTCTCCCTCACATTTTCTAATTAGGGCCTAACCTGGATGCCTCTGCTTTCACAAGTTAGCTAATTGACTGATTATATTAACCGGAGCTTATCTAATTGGCTTATTGCAATCACCTGGGCTGAGCTAATGGGCTTAATATATTTGCCCGAGCTGCAGAAGATGATCTCTGACCTACATTTTTTCTGAGGCTTATTTTGCGATATATGCATATGGATTATGTAGACATAGCCATGCAATCCATTCTGTTTGTATATGTTTATCCACCAGTCTTATATAAATAAAATAATAAAAATGCTAAAATAAAACCATTGTGCAATTACAGAATAGGAAGAGTCATATAGCAAACTCAGAACCTAGGAAAATTGAATTAATTGAAAAATTAGTTCATAGAAAAAAATGCAAGTGACAACAAATGTATGGCAAAATGCTTAATTTCAGATGATTTTAAAAAAGGAAATGAAAAAAATATATATATATTTTTTAACCAATAAGATTGATAGTAATTTAAGTTTTATTATGTAAAGTGTTAATGACTTGTTGGGGGATTGCATATTTGTATGACTTTTTGATAAAGCAGTTTGTCAGTAACAAAATACAAATATTCATTCACTTTGACTAGCAGTTTCACTCTTTGTAACCTGTCCTATAGATAGGCTTGCACAAAATGTGCGAGGGTAAACTTAAAAAAATATATACATCACAACATTCTAATAGAAATAAAGTGATCTAAACCTATATATAATACAATATAATATTAACAGTATTTATTATTAGATACATGTGTTGGACTAAGTAATACAATTACAGGACATTTATGCTGTGGAATATTATGACAGTGCCAACAAATTTAAATACATGTTTAAGTGCAAATATCAAAGATGCCCTGGACATAATAAGTGAGAAGTGGACATTGTTGAATATAAAGATAGTGTGTTTTATTATGACTATAATGTGTAAAAAAAAAATAAAGGAGTATACAACATGTAAATATGTGAGTAAATGTCTGAAAAACTGAAAAGAATTCTTAACAGTGTTTACTCCCATCTAACTGACAGAGACAATTAGGGGTTTACCTTCATAAAGTGAGGGCAGGCTGAGGTAAGAAAGTATATTTTTCTTTTCATGTATTTTTCAGTAGTTTAAATCAAAGCAAAATGATTGGAAGAAATAAATAATGTTATATTATATTAGGCAAATATAATTTATATGATAGAAATTTAAAGTATTAGCTAAATTTCTATAAATTCACAATTTTATTTTATTTTTCCTCAAAGACACCTGCATAACAACAAGGAATAGCACCAGTTGTACCTCTTCAACTTCTTCACTTTCTAACTACTTGTACGTCTTCATCTTGGGACAACTATTGCTGGGGGCAGGAGGAACTCCTCTCTATACTCTGGGAACAGCGTTTCTTGATGATTCTGTGCCCACACACAAATCTTCTCTCTATATAGGTAAGTTTCCTCTCTAAACTGTCTGAGTTTCACTTTATCTTATTATTGTTTACTTTAGAAGTAAAGTATATCATAGGCTTATTAAAAAGTTAGTTGTAATGCCATAGGCATTCCTAATAAATAAATGCAGTATTCCTTTTGTTTTATTTTCTGCCATATAATGTCAGTAAATATAAATCATAATAATTTTTGTTGATGCACTGCTGTATTTTTTGCTCTGGGCATGCTACTTTGCAGAATAGGAAGAGCCACTTAAGCAACATTCTCTCTAGATCACTTGAATCTCTGGGTAATAGAGCATTCCAAAGAATGAACCAAGTAGAAACCTCTGAAGGAAAACCTCTATAAACACTCCATTTGGCTTATGAGGAGCTTCAAATTTAGCTCCCAACTGAAAAATTTGTTTCACCTTCAGTACCTGGTTTGGCTTGCATTACCTTACTCCAAGGACCTCTTTACTCCTTTGGCAAAGTCTGAATTTGTCACAGATGTGGGACATAGAAGTGAATCTCTACAAGGCGTAAAAATTCAGCTCTGCCATCCTATGTGATTTATTATATCCTATATTGACTTTCAGTCCACAAAAGAAACCATAAGATAGTACCCAGATACTCTATGGCATTTTCCATTTCAAATAAACCCATATATATATATATATATATACACACACACACATATATGACTCAATTTTTTTTTGCTTTGTGATCTAATTCCTGGTAGCATAAGTTTCTTGTAAATTCCTTCTTATAGGTTCCTGCAACGTAAAGCTAACTAGACAATGTACAGCCCTACATCTAATTATTACATTCTTCATTTATGTATGAGTTTTCTCTTTATCAGTCTGTTAATCTAACGTAGGAGATTCATTTCCACAGTATTCGGAAGACAGTATGTTCAGTGCAGCCTAAGACACCGAGGAACTCACAGATACCACTGGCCTTGATTACAGCCAGAGTATTTAAATGGAGACTGCACTGCTACACCCACCCAGAATCAAACTCAAAGAGTACCTACCCAACCAATTCCATAGATATATCTATAGAAAAATGTCTTAACCTGTGAAAACTACTCAATAAAATTGGAAGAGTATACTCCAGCTGTGTAGACATCCGTATAGTAACAAGCAAAAAGAAAAACATGAAAAAGCAAGGAAACATGGCACTTTGAAAGAAATACAATAATTATTCAGTAACAGAACCAAAAGAAGGAAAAAATCTGAGAAATGCCTGAAAAGGAATTTGAGCTAACGGTCTTAAAGAAACTCGGTAAGATACCAGGGAACTCAAATAAACAATACAAAGAAATCAAGGAAACAATTCATGATCTGAAAGAGAAATTCAAGAGTGATAGATGTCATTAAAAAGAACCAAACAGAAATCATGCAACTGATGAAACAAATCAATGAAATTACAAGTGTAGTTGAAGGAAAAATTACAGTTGAGAACTTTAACACTAGACTAGATCAAACAGAAGGAATTTCTGATCTTGAAGAGAGGTCTTTTGAAATAACCCAGTCAGAAAAAAAAGAAAACAAAATGAAAAAAAAAAAAGAGAGAAAGCTTATGTGACATATGGGCACTATTAAGTAAACAAGTATTTGAATTTTAAGAATTACAGAAAGAGAAGAAATAGGAAAAAGTATAGAAAATCCATATAATGAAATAATGCTGAAAACATCCCAAGTTGTGGGTGAGAAATTAGACATCCAGATACAGGAAGCTCAGTGATTCCCAAATTGATTCAACCCAAAAGGGTCATTTTCAAGGTATATTACATTCAAACTGGCAAAAGTCAAAGAAAAAGATAATTCTGAAAATAGCAAGAGAAGAGCATCAAGTCACATATGGAAGAATTCCCATCAGAAAGATTTCTTAGCAAAAACCTTATAGTTCAGGAGAGAATTGGGTGATATATTTAAGAATGCTCAAAGGCAGAGGTCTGGGGGTTGGGGGGAACACAGCTCTTAGTCAAAAATACTATATCCAGGAAAGCTATTCTTCAGAAATAAAGGTGAAATAAAGTCTTTTTCAGACAAGCAAAAACTGAGGGAGTGCATCATTACTATACCAGCCTGCAAAAATGCTTAAGGGAGTCCTACATCTGGAAGCAAAGGGGTAATTACCATCCTGAACACAAGTAAAAATATATACCTCAATGGCAGAGAAGATACTCAAGGAAAAGAAAGGAATCAAATGTTATCACTGTAGAAAACTGTCAGCTGGGTGTAGTGGCTCAAGCCTGTAATCCCAGCACTTTGGGAGGCCGAGATGGGTGGATCACAAGATCAAGAGATCTAGACCATCCTGGTCAAAATGGTGAAATGCCGTCTCTACTAAAGATACAAAAAAAATTAGCTGGGCATGGTAGCGCATGCCTGTAATCCCAGCTACTCGGGAGGCTGAGGCAGGAGAATTGCCTGAACCCAAGAGGCAGAGGTTGTGGTGAGCCGAGATCGTGCCATTGCACTCCAGCCTGGGTAACAAGAGCAAAACTCTGTCTCAAAAAAAAAAAAAAAAAAAAAGAAAGAAAACTGTCAAACTACAAAGAAGAACAAAAGGGGAAGAAATGAACAAAACATGTATAAAACGATCAGAAAACAACAAAATGACAGAAGTCCTTACCTATTAATGATACCAACCTTCAACATAAATAGTTTAAATTTCCTAATTGAAAATATACATAGACTGAATGAATTAAGAAAGCATATCTAACCATATGCTGCCTAGAAGAAACTCATTTCAACTGTAAAACACACTTAGACTGAAAGTGGAGGGATAAAAAATATATTTAGTGTAATTATAAACCAAAAGTTTGTGGGAGAAGTTATACTTAAATTAGACAAAATAGTCTAAGTCAAAAAATATAAGAAAGAAACAAGAATATCATTTTATAATTACAAATTGATAAATTCACCAAGAAGATATAGCAATTATAACTGAATATGCACCAGAGAATACACATATATAAATCGAGTATTATTAGAGTTAAAGAAATGGACCCCAATGTAATAACGGTTGGGAACTTTAACACCCCACTTTTAGCACTGGGAAGATCATCTAGACAGAAAATCAGTGAATAATATTGGATTTAAATGTCAGTGTATATCAAATTGATCTAACAGGTATTTGCAGAACATTTTATCCAACTGCTACAGGATACATGTTATTATCTTCAGCACATGGAACATTCTCTTGGGTAGGCCATATGAAGCCACAAAACAAGTCTCAACAAACTTTTAAATATTGATATATTCTTAAACTACAATGAAACAAAACTTGAAATCAATGAGGCACTTTTGAAACTGTACAAATACATGGAAATTAAATATGCTCCTGAATAACCAATATGTTGATGAAGAAATTAAGGAATTCACATGAAAGTAGAGATACGATAAACCAAATCTTATCAGATACAGAGAAAGTAATGCTAACAGAAAAGTTTATACCAAGAAACACCTATGTCATAAAAATTGATTTCAAATAAACTGCCTAATAATGTACCTCAAGGAAATGGAAAAGCAAGAACAAAACAAACCCAAAATTAGTAGAAGCTGAGAAATAATAAAGACCATAACAGAACTAAATGAGAGTTAAATAAAATACAGATCAAAGAAATAAAAATTGGTTTTTGGAAAAGATAAAACCATTAGCTAGACTAAAAAAAAAAAGAGAGAAGACCTAAATAAGTAAAATCAGAAACAAAATAGAAGGCATTACAAACGATACCACAGAAAAACAAAGGATTATTATTAGTCTTGTGAACAAATACATCCAACAAATTGAAAAACCTATAGAAAATGGATAACTTCCCAGATACATACAACCTATCAAGATTTGACCAGGAAGAAATAGAAAACTTGGTAAAATAACATGTAATGAGATTGAATCAATAATAAAACGTCTCCCAAGAATCAAAAGCCCAGGGTGTATGGCTTCCCTGGTGAATTCTATGAAACTTGTAAAGAAGAACTTAGCACCAGTTCTTTTCAAACTATTCCAAATTGTTGAAGAGAGAATTCTTAACAGCTTATTCTAAGGCCAGTGTTACCCTGATGCCAAAACCAGAGAAAGACAGAATGTAAAGAGGAGCTACAGGCCAATATCCCTAATGAACATAGATATAGAAATCCTCTACAAAGTTATAGCTAGCTAAATTCAATGGCACACCAAAAAGTAATATACTATGATCAAATGGAATTGATCTCAGGGATGCAAGAAGTAGTTCATCTTATGGAAATCAATAAATGTGATATATTACATAAATAGAATGAAGGACAAAAAATATCACATGATCATCTCAATAGATGCAGAAATGTTTTTGATAAAATTCAACATTCCTTCATGATGAAAATTCCCAAGTATAAAAGGAATGTACATCAACACAATAAAGATGATATATGGCAAACCCACAGCTAACATACTGAATGGGAAAAAGCTGAAAGCCTTTCCTCTAAGAACTGAAACATAAGAAAGCCCACTTTCTTTTTGTTTTGTTTTGAGATGGAGTCTTGCTCTTGTTTCCCAGGCTGTGGTCCAGTGGTGCAATCTTGGCTCACTGCAGCCTCTGCCTCCCTAGTTCAAGCAATTCTCTTTCCTCAGACTCCCAAGTAGCTGGTATTACAGGTGCCCACCACCATGCATGTCTATTTTTTGTATTTTTAGTAGAGACAGGGTTTCACCATGTTGGCCAGGCAGGTCTTGAACCCCAGACCTCAGGTGATCCACCCTCCTTGGCTTCCCAAAGTGCTGGGATTACAGGCGTGAGACACCAGGCCTGGCTGAAAGCCCACTTTCATCACTTTTATTCAACATGGTACTGGAAGTTCTATTCAGAGCACTTAGGCAAAAGAAAGAAATAAGGGGCATGCAAAAGAAAGAAATAAGGGGCATCCAAATTGGAGAAGAGGAAGCCAAATTGTCTCTCTCCACAGATGACATAATCTTATGTAGAAACATCTAAAGACTCCAATGACAAAAAACTCTTAGAACTATTAAATAATTTCAGTAAAGTTTCAGGGTACAAAGTCACATAAAAAATTGGTAGTGTTTCTTTATGGCAATGATGAACTAGCTGAAAGAGAAATCAAGAAAGTAGTTAGTCTCATTTATAATGGGATTATGAATTACAAAGAAATGCAAAGGAATAAATTTAACCCAGGAGGCCGGGCACAGTGGCTCACGCCTGTAATCCCAACACTTTGGGGGGCCGAGGCAGGTTGATCACGAGATCAAGAGATTGAGACCATCCTGGTCAAAGTGGTGAAACCCCGTCTCTATTAAAAAATACAAAAAATTAGCTGGGCATGGTGGCGCATGCCTGTAATCCCAGCTACTCAGGAGGCTGAGGCAGGAGAATTGCCTGAACCCAGGAGGCGGAGATTGCGATGAGCCGAGATTGAGCCATTGCACTCCAGCCTGGGTAACAAGAGCGAAACTCCGTCTCAAAAAAAAAAAAAAAAAAAAATTAACTCAGGAGGTGAGAATTGTTAAAGAAAAACTAAACTACAAAACATTGATGACAGAAACTGAGGACAGAAAAAATGGAAAGGCATCCTGTGCTCATGGATTCAAAGAGTGCATATTGTTTAAATGACTGTATTACCCAAAGCAATTTACAGATTCAGTGCAATCCCTATGAAAATTGCAATGTCACTTTTCACAGACATGGAAAAACAGTCCTAAAATTCATATGGAATTAGAAAAGATGCCAAATGGCCAAAGCAATCCTGAGCACAAAGAGCAAAGCTGGAAGCAGCACATTGTCTGATTTCAAATTATACAACAAAGTTTTAGTAACTAAAAAGAATGGTGTTTGTATCAAAACAGACACATTGATCAATGGAACAGAATAGAGAACCCAGAATGAAATCCATGTATTTATGACCAACTGATTTTTACTAAAGATACCAAGGATATACACTGGGGACTCTTTAATAAGTGGTGCTGTAATAACTGGCTATCAGTGTGCAGAACAATACAACTAGACCTCTATCTCACATGATATAAAAAAAATCAACTCAAAAAGGATTCAAGACTTAAATGTAAGACTCAAAAATACAAAAATTACTGGAGGAAAACAAAGGGGAAACACTTTACTAATTGGTCCAGGCAGAAATTTTACGGTTAAGACTGAAAAAACATAGGCAGCAAAAACAAAACAAGACAAATGGGACTATATCAAGCTAAAAAGTTGCTGCACAGCATAAGAAACAATCATCAGATCACAGAGACAACCTATAAAACAGGAGGAATTATTTGCAAATTGTTCATCCAACAAGGGACTAATATCCAGAATATCTAAGGAACTTTAACAAGTCAAGAGGAAAAAGTCCAAATAATCTAATTAAAAAATAAGCAAAGACTCTATGTAGCCATTTTTCTAAATAAGATATACAGATGGCCACCAGTTATATGAAAAAATAGTCAACATCAATTATGATCAGGGAAATGCAAATCAAAGTCACAATGACATTATCTAACCTCAATTAGAATAGCTATTATCACAAAGACAAAATATCAAATGCTGGTGAAGATGCAGAGAAACGAGAACTTTTTATACACTGTTGGTGAGAATGTAAATTTGTACAGTCATTATGGAGAATAGTATAGAGATTTCTCAAAAACTGAAGGTATAATTACCATATGATCCAGCAATCTTACTATTAGGTAAGATCCAAGGGAAGGGAAATCAGTGTATTGAAGAGATAGTTGTATCCTTACGTTTTTTCACAATAGCTAAGAGATGGAATCAAGCTATTCATCAAGAGATATAGAATAGATAAAGAAAATGTGAAACATATATACAATAAGATACTATTCAGCCATAAAGAAATAGAATCCTGTTATTCATAGTAACATGGATGAGCCTAGAGAATATCCTGCTAAATGAAACAAGTCAAGCACAAAAGATAAATACTGCATGATCGCACTAATATCTGGGAGCTAAAAAGAAAAAAAAAACCAGCTCATAGAATTCCAGAGTAGAATTATGGTTATTAAAGGCTGGGAAAGATATGGGAAGGGGAGGTATGTAGCACTAATGTTCTATGTAGCAATATAGATTGGATATAGTTAACCGTTACTTATTGCATATGTTCAAAAAGCTAAAAGAGACGATGTTGAAAGTTCCCAGCACAAATCATAAATGTATGAGGTAATGGGTGTGCTAATTAGTGTGATTTGATCATTACACATTTTATAGATGTATTGATACATAACTCTGTACCCTCTAAAATGTACAATGGTTATGTGTCAACTAAAAAATAAAAGGAAAAAAGGGAAACTAGATTCAACAGACTTTCCAAGATACTGGGAAGCTTAAATAAACAACAACAACAATAAAAATACATGAGTGGTCAAATAAGTTTTGTTTTATAAAAATTTAGTTATATATGGCAACATTTAAAATATCTCACAGATAGAAATAAGCGCCATTTAATTCTACTGCAAGTAAAAATGGGGAAAGTTCCTAAGAGAAAAAGTTTAAACTAATGGCTTACTTTTAAGAAAGAGACTTCTCAGCAGATCCAGATTTGAAGTCAGCTGCTATAGTGCAAAATAAAGAATTCTGAGTCGTGCAGAGTGGAAAAGGCTTCTCATTGTTTTCTTCCATGATATTGTAAACAGCACTTATGATCACTGTCAGTAAAGGATAAATAGTAGATATACTACCTCTACCACCAGTTACCAACACTTTCCGTGGATTTGTAATTTTTAGTTTTGTTCTAATTATTACTACAAATAGCTTTTACCCTGAGTTGTATATTTTAGGCTCCTTGACTTAACTATTGATTCAAATGGTATTGTTTTAGTGAAAATACATGTGATTTTGATATGTTTCATTGTTTAAATTTTTCTACAGTGAAACATTTGCAAAGTGAGGTTGTACATATAACTGTATTAAATGTCTTTGTTCTTCTTCTAGGAACTGGTTACGCTATGTCAATCTTAGGCCCTGCTATTGGCTATGTATTGGGAGGACAGCTGCTAACCATGTACATTGATGTTGCTATGGGTGAAAGGCAAGGCAGTATCTATTTTTCTTTTATTTAAATTTATTTTATTTTAATCAAGCCAACATCATAGACAGAACATTTTCACAGTACTTCCTTCAGTATAGCATGAGAAATTATTCAGGAAACAAAACTGAATACAAAGAATTCTTATATTTGGCTGTATTGCCTTTTGGATCAATGCCATACCATCTTTTATTATAATAACATATTTTTGTAAATAAGGATGTTTAATAAAAATCATCTGGTGAAATTCTAAAAAACACACATTTAGGACCTCATGCATTGTTCAAAAATAAGAATTCAATAGAAATTAACAATATTTTCCATAGATTTAGTTGTGACTAGATAGTCTGGAGAGTCTCAAGAGTCTGTAATCCTTCCTTCCTTCCTCCCTTCCTCCCTTCTATGGCATTATCAGAATTACTATCATCAGAAAATGTTCCATAGTAACTCTGATAATGCCATAGAGATCACAATTACACTATTTTAAAATCAATGACAATGAAGATAATAATATAATAATAGGTAATATTTGTTTGTCCTTTACATATGTTTTTTACATGCTATCTTACTTAATAATAGTTGATACGCACAGGTTGGTAAGTGGCTAAGGCATAGATTAAAGTGATCTCTTTGACTCCAGAATTCAACACTGAGTTAGTTACCTTCTCAGTTTTTCGGTTAGAAAAATTTGTGCCTTTGCTGAGGTCATTTTTTTTCATTTTGCCACTGGGAATAGTAACTGTACAATTCTGTACGTGACCTGCACTGCAATTCACTGTATTGCAGTGAACACAAAAATGTGGTCATAGGTATGTGATTTGTTCTCTAAACTGTTAGTCCTAGGTTAATCTTTCACAGCCTTTAAAAAGGCATGCAGAAGAACTCTTGAAGTAGTAAGCCCAGAGATTTAAGGACATTTTAATTTTAGTGGAATGAATTGTAGGATTAGTTTATTTTTGGAAAGGGTCAAAGTATATTAAAATATAAGAACCCTGGCTGGGCATGGTGGCTCATTCCTGTAATCCTAGCTCTTTGGGAGGTCAAAATGTAAGGATCACTTGAGGCCAGGAGTGCCTTCTAGCTATAGTAGCTTACAAGCTACTTGAGAGGCTAAGACGAGAGAATCACTTGAGCCCAGAAGTTCAAAGCTGCAGTGAACTATGATCATGCCATTACACTCCTGCCTGGGTGACAGATTGGGACCATTTCAAATAAATAAATAGATAAATAAAGTCACTTTAAGAATAATTTTACATTAAAGAAATGCACTAATTGAATGAAACACTGGGCTTTTAACATAGATCAGTGATTGCTGTGATATATATTTAATTTGACAGAGTAGAGAAGAAAATTTAGCCAAAGTTAAAGAATGTTGAGAAATTCTATGTATCTTTCGAAATAGTTCTCAATTTACTATTAGAATTTTAAAATTTTATGTCATATTTGCCATTTTTAAACATTTTGTAAACCATTATTCTTATAACTCTCATTTATGCCTGCTACCTGTTTTCTGATTCTTCACAATGGCACCATTAAAATGTTGGATATTATAATATTCTATTAGATGAACTTGAAGTGTAAAGTATGTAATTATCTTAATTGAGTTTTAATTAATAAGGTAGAGTTGACTTTTACCTCTTGTTTTTCTATCATATAGTACTGAGGTCACTGAGGATGATCCACGGTGGTTGGGAGCTTGGTGGATTGGATTTATTCTATCATGGATCTTTGCTTGGTCTTTAATAATACCTTTTTCTTGCTTTCCAAAACATTTACCAGGTAAACTTGCTTTCTTTAAAACCAGAGAGGTTTATTTTAATTGTAGGCCAGTTGTTATTTTCTATATGATTAATAAGAACTATAGATTCACCCAGTTTGTTTTATAGAATCTCAAGTATCTGCCTATGTAAACTTTCGAATATTCTTCATTCTAGAAAATATTGGGTAACAATCTTAATATTCATAGGGTTTTCCAATTTCCAATTGATAATGAAACTATGAATATTCACCTTCTTAGTACTTACTAAATTTGTTTCTGTTTTATCTGGAATTCTGCTTTATGTGTATGCAAGGTACAGTATCTTTTAAACTATTAGTTTGCATTCAATTAGTTGTTCATTTCATTCTGCTTTAAATGATTCATGTTAATTACTTGTAGTTAAATTTGCAAGTGCTTTTTTTTAAAAAAATTATCACCAAAGTCATTCTGTAGTGTACTTATTTACTTTTTTACTGTATGTGAATACTAAACATCCTTTTCTTTCTTTCTTTCTTTTTCTTTGCTTTCCTTCTTTGTTCTTTTGGGCTTTTTTTTTTTTTTTTTTTTGAGACAGTCTCTCTCTGCTGCCCAGACTGGAGTGCAGTGATGCGATCTTTGCTCACTGCAACCTCTGACTCTTGGGTTCAAGCAGTTGTCCTGACTTAGCCTCCCAAGTAGCTGGGACCACAGTCATGTGCCAGCACACTCAGCTAATTTTTGTATTTTTGGTAGAGATGGGGTTTTGCCATGTTGGCCAGGCTGGTCTCGAACTCCTGACCTCAATCGATTTCCCTGCCTCAGCCTCGCAAAGTGCTAGGAATACAGGCATAAGCCACCACGCCTGACTTAAGTACTAAACACTCTATATAACAAGAAAAGGTTAATAAAAAAGAATATTAATTTTTGTCTAAGAGCTCTTGCTTCTGTATAATGATGAAGTTAAAATACATATCTGTAGAAGTATTTTTCTTTAGGTTGAAGGTATTTAGTTGTTTACATTGTTATTTGTAACAGGATAGATGATTACCTTTTGGGAATGGGCAAGAGAAAATCTGACAGACTATGAGTAGGTAGACTCATTAACTTATTTCTACCCTGAGCCATTCAGTTATAATTCCATATGTTGACTATTTTTTCAGATTTATTGGCAGTACCATTATTAAAAATCCAAGGGACATGGTAATAAGATGGTAAATATTTCATTTGTCAAGCATGTTAGGATTAAGAGAGCAGAGGAAAAAAGCCACAAAAGTACTTTAATATCTAAAGGATCAAAAAGAGAACCACTTGAAAGGAAGAAAAAATGTTAAGAGATTTTAAATGAAAAGCATAGATACGTGATTGGAGCAAAATTGTCTCGTTTTAATGTTTAGATTGGTTGGAACTTCCTCAGCAAGTGGTAATGAATACCATTCTTGGGGTATCCTGATTACAGACATAGATAATTGAACAATTTTATTGACAGAGAAGAATTGGCCTCTTATGTTATAGCATTTTTATGCTAGTGGAAGTCTAGGTCAATTAAAAAGTAAGCACTTTTTACATAAGGAATAAAGTGATAGAGCAAGTTCATTTGCTATTGTTTTTTTCTTTTTAGGTACAGCAGAGATTCAAGCTGGAAAAACCTCCCAGGCTCATCAGATTGGTAGTAATATAGATGAGAAATTTGGAAAAAGTATTAAAGATTTTCCAGCTGCTCTAAAGGTAAAATAAAACTCTTCTCTGTCTCTCTCTCCGTCTTATACACACACATATACACACACGCAATCACATGTACATATGATTGCATACATATAAACACCCACGTAAACACACACACACACACCATCTTTTCATGATACACTTTTTGCTTATTTACAATAGTTTGAGCTCTTATAAACAACTGTTTGGATTCAGTTTTATTGTCCTTTGAGTAAATGAAAACTATCCCAGGGTAGAATGGTTGAAACAGCATGAGTTGCTTTATTGGAAGTATCAATATTCACTGATTCCTTGTTAATACTAATAGCCCATTATTCCATGACATTTTCCTTATGAAATTGATTTGTCAATTATCACTGAATTGTAAATATATTTGAAAATTCTGAAACAATATTTTTATTTTGTGAAAGAGGTAGTTAATGGTAACTTGTTTTGAATTTGACGCTAAAGAACAAAAGTGTTATGGTCCATTCAATTGTACTCAGCAGAAAAGTATTCTTTCTATATAGTGTTATAAAAGTTTTATTCATAAGGGACTTTATAATTTTACTTTTTCAAAAGGTGAAGTTGTTTGTTTTTCATCGTTTTTGGCTTCTTGTCAAATAAAAACCTTAAAATGTTTTTACTTCTCCACTTAGCCCATCTTTCAACTCTCCCCACCATACATGCGCATTCTTGTGTTTGGCTGATATTGTTTGTGCTTTAATTGCAACTATTGTTATTTTCTCTTATAGTAGTTCTGTTATATTTCATTATTCCTATTTAATTTATCTTATAAACTTTAACTAGCATTACTATTGAGAGTCACTACTTACCATTACTTTTTTTAATCCTTATGTCCTCCTGCTTAGAGATCTCTATTCTGGTTTCAATCTCTATGAATTCAAGATTTTATTGTTAGTTTTCCTTAGATAAGATACTGCCTAGATATCATTGAATGTCTGAATAATATATTTGACTAGGTGAATACTTTCGGATCATTCCCCTTTATCCCCAATAGTCTATGGATATTGTTTGTTTTTTTCTACTTAATTGAGTTATATTTGAGAAGTTTCATGTTAGTGTGATTCTGACTTATTCTTTTCATCTGTATGTTGGTAAGTTTTTTCATTTATCTTTGATTACAGGAAATTTATTTAGACTTATGTTGAAGTATATGTCTCTTTTCATTAATTCTTCTCGAGAATCCATTATTTTCAATCTGAAGACAATTTGAAAAAATATTATTTTAATTATTTTAAATTATTGCATATTTTCAGGTACTTTCCCTCCCTTTGTCAGTCTTAGGTTATGTGGCTCTGACTTCTAATGCTCTCATCTTTCTCCTTTGTGACGTGCGTGTGTGTGTGTGTGTGTGTTTTGCTTGATTTTATGAAAAATTTTTTGGCATTTAATATTTGAGAACTATAATTTTGTTTTCATTATCTGGTTGAACATATTAACATAGTTAACCTCCAAACTTCCATTTGTAAATAAATAAGATTCTGAGAGGTCTAGCCATATAGACACCTATTTAAAGTTGCTTAACTGTGTTTCTAAGGTTCTTAATTGCTGAGTCTAATCATGGAACAATATGAATTTAATATTTAGAGACCATTCTCATCTGTGCTCATAGACTCAAATTCTTTGTTTACTGGACATAGGAATTCAAAACACAATAAAACACCAAATAGGTGGTAGATTTATAGTGTGAAGATTTACAGTAAGATTGGGGAAGGGAACTTTTCCAAGAAGGCTTCTACATTCTTTCCCTGGTTCTTTGAATGCAATAAATGCATAACCACCATATTGAGGGATCATCTATCAATTTTCTATGTATTCCACATATAAATTTTCTCATCATTTATATGTAAATCTAATTATTATCCATTGTTATAGTTTTGTTCTAGAGGAAATGATGAAATTTTATAAATTATTGTATTACATTTATTAAAAATTTGCCATGCTAACCTTCTAACTGTACTTTGCAGTCTAATCATAGCTATTCATTTGAGGAACTGTATTTTTTTCTTTAGAATTTGATGAAGAATGGTGTCTTTGTGTGTTTAGTTCTGTCAACTTCTTCAGAAGCCTTAATTACTACTGGATTTGCTACATTTTTACCTAAATTTATAGAAAATCAATTTGGATTGACACCCAGCTTTGCAGCTACTCTTGGAGGTAAAACATTTTCTTTATTTTAACTTAATCTAAAATTTTTACTTTATCATATTAAATGTTTATTAGGTTAATGTATAATTTGGGATAGCCCCTCATTGAAATTTAAACTAAAACCAGCCTGGCAATCATGGAGAATTCCTGTCTCTGTTAAAAAACAAAAATAGGCTGGGCATAGTGGCACATGCCTATAGTCCCAGCTTCTCGGGAGGTTGAGGTGGGAGAATAACTTGAATCTGGGAAGTGGAGGATGCAGTGAATTGAGCTTGTGCTATTGTACTCCAGCCTGGGTGACAGAATGAGACACTGTCTTAAAAAAATTTTTTTTTCTGATTTTCTGACATTCGGCAATCTATTGTATGAACTAGAGAAAGACAAAAGCTAAAATAACTAAAGAGAATGTGTATTAATCTTAATGTTCAATACATTAATTTGATTAATTCCCGACTGAAGGACCCGTTAAGTCATTTGTACATGTATTTCTATATCAGGTGAATACTTTTATATGTCAGAACCATATTGGCACTTGTTTTTGATGTTTTCCAATTGTCAGTATGGGTGAGTTTATGTTTTCTCACAGTCTACATTCTTTTTTCTTATTAGGGGCTGTTTTAATTCCTGGAGCTGCTCTCGGTCAAATTTTAGGTGGTGTCCTTGTTTCAAAATTCAAAATGACATGTAAAAACACAATGAAGTTTGCATTGTTCACATCTGGAGTTGCACTTATGCTGAGTTTTGTACTTATTTATGCCAAATGTGAAAATGAGCCCTTTGCTGGTGTATCTGAATCGTATAATGGGTAAATACATTTCAGTGCTTTTTGATAATAATACCAGAATAATAGACTAAGCATTTCTAAGCATATGTTTTCTTAAACGGTGAGAAACTGGAGTTTTAAAAAATTGGAAGGCCTTTTTTCCTGTGAGAACATGTAGTTTTGTTTTTCTTTTAGATAATTGATGTATTATTAAAAGTTAGGAATATTTATACAAAGGACATTTAAGAAGCAACTTTCATATACTGGGTACTATAGTTCCTCAGGGATACAAAGATTAACACAGTGGGATTTTTGCCTCTAAGGGATTCATATCCTAGGAAGAATTTTACATTTTATGTTTTTATTGGTTTAAATTTAAAAAACTGAAATAACTCCCTATGATAAAAATTCTCTTATTTGGTTGGTTGCAAGTAGGCAAGAAGAGAATTTAGAATAAAGCTAGTCCTAGCTAATACTAATTGTTATTGTATCTACTTAGAAGGTTATGTTTATTGTAGATAAATAAATAACTTGTTTTCGCCTATACACGTTTCTAGCTATAATCGATTTGATCATTTACATTTCTTTGTTTTGCTTTGACATTTTAGACCATAGTAGGCGTTCAGTCAGGAGGGTGTTGCATAGCAGTGCACTTTGTACCTCATAGCGCTGCTTTCATTGTTTCATTACATGTGTTTGAGGCCGTTAAGGAAGGTGGTATACTAGGTCAAGGACTCCATAATTTTGTGTAATACAACATTCAGATGATATAAATAAAATCTACTTTGTTCATTTGCCAGTAATGATGATCACGATTTGCAGTTACTACTAACATATCTGTGATTCTTTACATTAATGCTGAGCATTCTAAAGCAGTGTTTGGTTAAGCTCCATTACATTTCTTTTCTTTTCTTTTTTTTTTTTTTTTTTTTTTTTTTTTTTTTTTTTGAGACAGAGTCTTGCTCTGTCACTCAGGCTGGAGTGCAGTGGCACAATCTTGGCTCACTGCAACCTCCACCTTCTGGATTCAAATGATTCTCCTGTCTCAGCCTCCAGAGCAGCTGGGGCTACATGTGCACACCAGCATGACTGGCTAATTTTTGTATATTTAGTAGAGATGGGGTTTTGCCATATTGGCCAGGATGGTCTGAAACTCCTGACCTCAAGTGATCTGCCCACTTTGGACACCCAAAGTGCTGAGATTACAGGCATGAGCCACCACACCTGGCCAAGCTCCATTACATTTATTCAATATTTGTTGAATACTTCCTTTGACAGAACTTTATAGCAAAAATCCCTGTTCTAAAGGAGAAATTGCAAAAGAAAGCATGAATAGTTAACTTGGTAATGGGAAATATACAAAGTGCTATGGAATTGAAAAGAAGGTGAGCTTTTCAATTTTATTTGATTAGAATCTGGAGGGGCTTCATAGCATAATAGTGAAATGGGGTTTAAAAATCCTTCAAGGATACAAAGAGTTTTGAGAAATAAGATTTGAGATGAGAGAAAGGGAGAGGGAATATGCTAAAACAAGGTTATAAATGCTATAAAATATGAAGGCTAGTTTCAGGGACCAGTTGGAAAGGAACTTAGGTTATGTGTCTAGAAATAGTAGAAATATATTTTGGAATGTTGAAAGGTAGGTAGAGGCTAAATTGTGTAGACCTGACTTTCAGCCCTATAAACTTCACCCAGACTTATCCCAGTAAAGCTTTTCTGTATGATCCTTTTAGAAAAAAAACAAAAAAGGAAGTTCTGGTTAGTGTAACACATAGCTTATCACTTTGAGTAATAAAGTACATTGTCTACCTTAAATAAATAAGAGTTACTGCCAGATGTGCTGTCCTTAGTGTAATCAGAAAGGAAGGCACATGTGATAGGGTAATTCTGAGATTCATGTAGGGTTTGGCCATTAAAATACATTAATATCTGGGACATAGTGTTTCATACAAGTACACATTTCTTATTGATGACAAGAACTGAAAGTTAATACACATACACAAACATAAATATCAGTAAATTTATGTGTTTTTACTCATATTTATTCATAAATATTTACTCATATTTATGTATGTGTGTGTATAGATAGAAATAGGGACAGAATTTAATGTCACTAAATACGTGTGACATTGTCAGATCATTTTTTCTCATGGCCCAAATTCTTAGTTTTAGCTTCTGTACCTTGAGTATAAAAATGTATTTATTACAAAAAGGTCAGTCAAACTAGTCTCATCTAAGAAGCATGTATTAAAAAAAGTACAGACATAGATTGAAGATATTGTGGGCTTGGTTCCAGATCACCAAAATGAAGCATATATTACAATAAGCAACTCAAATGAGTATTTTTGTTTTCCAGTGCATATAAAAGTTACGTTTATCCTATACTATACTCTATTGTCTATGCAATAACCTTATATCTAAAAAAGCAATGTATAATGTACATACATTAATTAAAAATTATTTATTGCTGAAACATGCTGACAATCATCTGAGCCTTCAGCCAGTTGTAATTTTTTTGCTGCTGGAAGGTCTTGTCCCAGTGTTGATGACTGCTGACTGACCAGGGTGATGGTTGCCAAAGGTTGGGGTACCTGTGGCAACATCTTAAAGTAAGGCAATAATGAGCAGTCAGAACACACACATCCTTTATTGATTAGATTTTACATCTTAAAGGAGCATGGTTCATGGTGTCCTGAAGCAATCAGAATAGTAACATCAAAAACCACTTATCATCATGACAGAAATGATAATGAAAAACTGAAATTTTGCAAGATTATCCAAATGTGAAGTAGACATAAAATGATCATATACTCTGGGAAAAATGGCACTGATAGATTTGCTGAATACTATCACTATCACTAGGTTGCCACTAACCTTCAATTAAACACGGTATTTGCAAAGTGCAATAAAACAAAGTGAAATAAAACGAGATAACCCTACATTCTCAGGACCTTTTCTGTCTCTCACTCCCTAAAAAGGTGTTCCTTGAGCTTCTTAGACTGTTCTTTCCATTGTTGCCATTGTTATTCCATGAGTACTCAGTGATTTTTAAGTGAGAGCATGTGTTTTCTTGTATTTGGTTTTCTGTGCCTGTGTTAATTCGCTTGGAATAATGGTCAGGATATTTTTCAATAATACTTTAAAATAATTTGTTATTAAACCTTTAGTTGGGCACAATAGTAAATTCGATTGCATGAAGACTGTTTATTTTCCCACTCTTCTGCACTGTGCTTTTGTTGCCTTGACAATCTATAGGAACTTTGAGTCTTGTTTTGGTGATCAGTGGTGGTAATGATGACTTTGTTTTACTTAATAGTTAAACCTCATAGAATATAGAAATACCATAGTATATACACATAATTTTTTTTTCTGTATCTGGCCTTTAGCTAGAATTTCATTGATTATATGAAATAATACCTTAAAGAGGCATATCAATATTTTGCAATGGCTTTAGGGAAATTTTAGCCTGTTATGGAGGCATAATTATAGAATAACACTTTGTATTTAAACAAGAAATTAATGTTTGAAATCTACTTGTGAAAACCATAAATATCTTTATACATGTACTTTTATTTTATTATATTATAAAAGCTATTAAACCTTTAAAAATATAATATAAATATTTTTAAAATAATATGGATACACTAAGAAAATTTAATAATCTTCACAAGCATCTGCTATTTTTCTACTAATAGTTTTCTACTTACCTCATGAAGTAAACCTTTGTAAAATACATAGACTAATGTGACCAACCCTTGATATTAAGGAATATCAGCTATATTTCTTTGTTTCTACTATGATTTGCATCATGGTGTCTTTATGATCTCTGTAATTATTTATCAATGGTTTGAGAATTATACATTGGGAACTTTAAAAATTATTGTGTAAAGGCTATTTCTAGAGTTGCAGGGATGGTTTTTCTCTACTTATTTCTGCATCTATGTTATGAGCTCTGTGAGCAGACACTCTAGTGATCGCTTTTGTGAGTAGAATCATCACACTTGATAAAGATAAATCTGGCAGCATCCTGTGGAGTAGATTTGAATAAGATGAGACTGCAGGCAGACTATTTTGATCACTTTTTCTTCAGACTCCCTACTGATTTAGTCATTTCTGTGTTTGACCCCTGATGCAAGAAAGCATCATGGTACAGGAGTCTCCTTCTCTCCTCCCTCCTTTCCATTTCCTTTCTTTTTCTCTTTCCCTTCCCTTCCTTTTCTCCCTTCCTTTCCCCACCCTCTCTCCCTTCCTTCTCTCTTCCTTCCTGCCTCTCTTCCTCCCTTCTTTTCTCCCTCCCTCTTTTTTTTTCTTCCCTCCATCATTCTCTTCCATCTATTTCTCTCTCTCCTCCTATTTCTTTCTCTCTCCTTCTGTCTGTCATTTCTTGTTCTAGCTGTAGCTCCTTCTTTCTTTTAAACATAATTCTACCACTTTGAGTAGTCTAGCACATAATTGGTGTTCATTATATGTTTATTAAATAAGTGGACTCACAAGACCTCAGTACTCTTCTCATTCCACACACTATATGGCTGGTCTTATAAATGCTCATGGTTTCAGCTACATCTGTGTCCAACAAGATATTAAGAAATCTAGCTCCATGCCAGATTTCTTTACTAAATTTGAGAGACTCTTAATTTTAATATGTACAATACCATACTCATCATCTCTTCTCCAAAACTTGTCTCCTGTACGTAAACACCAAGTTAGATGCTAGGAGTCAACCTTGACTCTTCCATTTTTCTTTTGTTTTAGAGAGCAGTGGCACAATAACTCACTGCAGCTTCAAACTCCTAGGCTCAAGTGATCTTTCTGCCTCAGCCTCTTGAGTAGCCTCTTCCATTCTTAACAGAAAGAGTAGTATTCAATCAATCCATCACCAAATCTTACTGATTCTATGTCTACAACTTTTAAATCTGCTTCCTACGTTCTGTTTTAGTTCTCCTTTATATTGTCATCACCTACTGTCTGGGGTATCATAACTGGTCCCCTTTCTTCAAATTCATACTCTGTACAACTCCTAGAATTATTTCTTTAAAGCAAACTTTTGACAGTGTCACTTTCCAGTGTAAAAACACCTCAATGATTGTCTTTTGTCAGGCCCATGTTGCTCTCAATTAAACTGGTCCTTGACTCCTCTCCAGCTACATTTCCTATCACTCTGTGCCTCAGATATCATTCACATTTCTCCACAGAGGATGCTGTTTCTATACTCTATGCCTTTGTATCAGCTTTTTCTGAAGTGTGTTTCCCTTTTCCCATTTGACTGGCTAACTCTTACTCATTCTTTATTTTTCATTTTTTTTCAAGATGGAGTCTCACTCTGTTGCCCAGGCTGGAGTGCAGTGGTATGATCTTGCCTCACTGAAACCTCTGCCTCGTGGGTACAAGAGATTCTTCTGTCTCAAACTCCCAAGTACCTGGGACTACAGGTGCCTGCCACCACACCCAGCTAATTTTTGTATTTTTAGTAGAGACAAGGTTTCACCATGTTGACGAAGCTGGTCTCAAATTCCTGACCTCAAGTGATTCACCCCCTTTGGCATCCCAAAATGCGGGGATTACAGGCATGAGCCACTGTGCCTAGCCTTTTACTCATTCTTTAAATCGCATCTCAGGCAGTAGCTTCTCCAGACCCTCTTCTCTAAACTTTAGCTTGTGTTAGGTGTCCTTCCTTTGTACTTCTAAAAGGCACTTTGCAGATATCTGTAACCACACTTGGCATATTAGTGAATAATTATTTATGTCCATTTCTACTTCTACACTGTGAAATCCTTGAGGACAGAAACTGTCTTATTTGGCTTTGTATTCCCGTTACGTAGCATAGGGCCTAGCAGTTGCTCAATATATGTGGTTTGAGTGCATGAATAAACAAATGAGTTACTAGGGATGCATTTTTATTAGTGTAACCCTTTATATTAGAGAACATGTTTTCTGTAAGAGGCAGTTTGAAATGACACTGGGCCTGGGGACCCAGAAAATTATATTTGGTAGGGAAAGAAAAGTAAGTTAATCTCCCTGGACCTCAGTTTTCCCATTGATGAGATGATTATGTTCAACAGCATGATTTTGTTCATCCTTCCAAGTTTAAACACTGTCTGCATCCTGCAGCTATTTGGCATTGTGTGGAGACATTTTGGTTGCTGTGATAAAGGAGAGTGCTACTGGCATCTGGTGAACGTCAGGGATGCCGTTAAACATTTTACAGTCCGCAGAACCAACCCCACAAGAGAATTATCTGGTGCCAGATGAGAATCTCTGTTTTTTTCACTTATTCTGTCTTATATTTTTAATTACTGACCAGATACTATACTACATGACTATTGTTTTTACTGCTTTTCTCCGACAAGAAGTTAAGCTTTATGTGCAAAGGAAGACTTTTTATTTGCTTTATTTGTTTAGCAATTATGTGTTGAGTGAGTGAATAAATGACTGAATGGTAAGATATAGCAGTGCTTCTAAACTGTTAAAAGTTATGACATAGCTCATTTACCCTTATTTTATTTTTTATTTACAGGACTGGAGAATTGGGCAACTTGGTAGCTTCCTGTAATACCAATTGTAACTGTTTGCAATCATATTACTATCCTGTCTGTGGAGAAGATGGAGTCCAATATTTTTCTCCCTGCTTTGCAGGTTGTTCAGACTCAGTTTCACATAGGAAACCAAAGGTAACTTATGTCTCCTACTTTTCCCTTAACATGGCAATGTGTTTATGGATTTCTAACTTGACTTCTCTAATGGGGTTATGCAATGCCTATTCTTGCCTTCCTGCTCCACTGCTTCCATGAAGCAGCTCATGATGTCTCCAGCTGAAATAGACTGTTTTTTCTTCATGCTTCTTGCAGTAATTGTTGAAAAGTCAATTTGGAAGTTACAAATATTTTAGTAACATCACTTTGTTGCAGTTGTGAAATGTCTTTTACCTTTTCGTATTGCTTTATAGTCATTCCTCGGAATACATGAGGGATGGGTTCCAGAACCCCTGCACATACCCAAATATGCCGTACTTCAGTCCCACCAATGGCTTGAAGAACCCATTTTAAGCCAGCGCCTCATTATTTGTGGGTTTTGCATCCAGCAAATACCATATTTTCGATCCATGTTTGGCTGACAAAAGTCCGCATGTAAGTGGACTGGTGCAGTTCAAACATGTGTTGTTCAAGGGTCAATTTTATTTTTCCTTAACTATACTTTCAGATCCTTGAAGGCAAGAGTCTTTTCCCATTTTTGCTAGGTACAGTTTGCACAATAGAAACAATATTTGTTTTATTTGATGTACCATGAATACATTCAAAAATATTCAAATCAATTTATTTTCAAATACAAATTTATGTCTACTTCTGGATCTGAATATTAATCAATGTGCCTAGATGTTATTTCTTTTTAGTGTAGTTAAATAGTTTAATGGAACTCAATATAATTTTATTGTACTATATCTTACAATCTACTATTTCATCTTAGCTAAATTTAAGAGCCTTATAAATAAATAGTATTCAGATTATGAGTAGTACACAGTATATTATTCATTGGTAGATAATGTTATAACTTTAAAAGAATCTGTGGGAAGTATATACTGTGATGTAAATGAAAACAATAAGATGTGTAAGAGTTACATGATAATTTTGAATATTTGAATTTTTTCTTTATATATGACCAATAAATATTATTGGTTAACTTGAATAAGATTATGACAAGGAGTTATTAGAAGGATTTTAGTCACATAATATGTATAGACACATATACCATCCTATGCAAGGAAATAACACAGGAAATTAATACCCAGAGCATACTTAAAATAGTTTTGGTGATTTTGATATGATTAATTTAATATTTATATTTTTCACCAAATGCTAAGGTAATTACTGTCTTACACAGCATGTTGTCTTCTGGAATTTTTTAGGAAGAGCAAATAATTTTGACTTGCAACTTTTCTACTTGTCCTGACTGTTTTATGTCCAAACAGTCCATGAAATAATCATTGATTCACAATATGTTTTTCTCATGAAATATTTCAGATAGGCAATAAACATTTATAATACTTTAAATAAACATCCATATACATTTGTTCACAGCAATACTGTTTTAATTTTATATTTTGCACCAGTGACGCAAACTACAAAAACAGACCTTAACTAACTGCTATATTGCAGGCAAATGAGAGCTGTAAAGTTTCATTAAGATAGAAAATGCTCTGGCCGGGCGCAGTGGCTCATGCCTGTAATCCCAGCACTTTGGGAGGCCGAGGCGGGTGGATCATGAGGTCAAGAGATCGAGACCATTCTGGTCAACATAGTGAAACCCCGTCTCTACTAAAAATACAAAAAATTAGCTGGGCATGGTGGCACATGCCTGTAATCCCAGCTACTCAGGAGGCTGAGGCAGGAGAACTGCCTGAACCCAGGAGGTGGAGGTTGCGGTGAGCCGAGATCGCACCATTGCACTCCAGCCTGGGTAACAAGAGCGAAACTCCATCTCGAAAAAAAAAAAAGATAGAAAATGCTCTTCTCAGTCGCTCTCCTTAAAATTTTTAAAGGCTGAATTGCCTCATTATTTGATGCAGATGACACCTCCAAAATTGACTATTACATATTCTGATTGCTGAATATGTAATAGTCAATTTTGGAGGTGTCATCTGCATATTTGGTTTTCCTGAATCAGTACCAGTTGTCTTAGAATGGCTTTAGCATCAGAAAAAATAATAAGTTTCTAGCCTTTGCCATAATAAAAGTACTGCTTCTCTGTGATTTCTCTGGCTCTGCTCTGATTTCATTGAGGACTTAATGTCTAAACAAGATTTATAGTAAGGATAAAAGATATGGAAGGATTCAGTTGAGATGTAAAAATGGCTTTAAGAAATAATTACTGTCGAAAGAAGTCTGGAATGTGCAAGATCATGTAACTTATATTCCCATTAAATTGTTTTGTAAGTCAGTAATTACTAGAGCAGGTTAAAGCTGAAGTAATGGCCACAATCGTCAAATACAAATGTTTCTACTTCATAAATATGGTTTGTTTCTACTTGCTTAATTTCTTATGGGTTAAGTATTCTCTCAGTCATTCGTTGTATGTGTAAGTAAGTATGAGAGTGTTTGCCATGTCTAGAGAATACCTAATTTACAATACTTTATTTTCTGAATAATCATTTTCATTATTTGTCTATATTTTTAGGTATATTACAACTGTTCCTGTATTGAGAGGAAAACGGAAATCACATCCACTGCAGAAACTTTTGGTTCTGAAGCTAAAGCTGGAAAATGTGAAACTCATTGTGCAAACCTGCCCATATTTCTTTGCATTTTCTTTATTATAATTATTTTTACGTTTATGGCTGGTACTCCTATAACTGTGTCTATCCTAAGGTATGTAATAGGTTGAGAAAGTTTCATTCACTAAGGTAATATGTTGATGGAAAGAAAATGGACTCTGGGCTCATTTGGGGTTTATATTGATCGTTAGTTCAATATCAGTCTAGTCCTTACAAGATCATTAGTTCTGTAGCATTGGGTAAGCTCCTCCATAAAACCCCAGATGTAGAGATTTAAATGATACACACTTGAAAGTGTCTTCACACTGCCTACCTGGCTTGTGCTTGGTATTTTTTTCTGCTTCTTTCATGAAACTTCAGTTGTGAGCTGGAGCTAGGTTCTTTTGAGTATTACAGAAATAAAATACATTCCAATATGCCAGAATCAGAATGGTGTGTATTCTACCTTATGCATTAGGTACTGTGACATTAAATCTTTAAGTAGTGCTAATATATAAGAAAAAGGCTGTCATCTAGTTGTTCACCTGTGTTTTATGTTTCCAGTTGCTCTTCCTTCTTCTATCTCAGTATACAAACACATTTCATACCTGTCCTTCCATGGAGTCACCAGTCTTTGTATATCTTTTCTAATGAATTCTAGCTTTTTTTCTTTTTTTGTTCCTTAATATTTACCCACTATCTTTTCTTTTTTTGTTGTTTATTTAATTTAATTTAAGTTCAGAGGTACATGTGCAGTTTTTTTTTTTTTTTTCCCTTAGGATAGCTTTGGCTATTCTGCAGTGAAGCCACTGGGTCCTGGGCTTTTCTTTACTGGGAGACATTTTATTACACCTTCAATCTTGCTACTTGTTATTGGTCTGTTCAGATTCGGATTTTTCCTGATTCCATCTTGGTAGGTTGTATGTATCTAGGAATTGGTCCATTTCTCCTACATTTTCCAATTTATTGGCATATTGTTGCTCATTGTAGCCACCAATGATCCTTTGAATTTCTACAATATCACTTGTAATGTTTCTTTTTATTTTTGATTTTATTTATTTGAATATTCTCCTTTTTTTCTTAGGCTAAAGGTTTGTCAATTTGGTTTAATTTTTCAAAAAACCAACTTTTTGTTTCATTGATCTTTTTTATGGTTTTCTTCATTATTTCATTTATTTATACTCTGATCATTTCTTTTCTTCTACTAAATTTGGTTTGGTTTCCTTTCATTTTGCCAGTTCTTTAAGACACATCATTAGATTGTTTATTTGAAGTTTTTCCTCTTTTTTGAGGTATAGCTATAATCTTCCCTATTAGTACTTTTTTGCTCTATCCCAGAGATTTTTGGCATGTTGTGTTTTCATTATCATTTGTTTCAATAAATTTTTTAGTTTCCTTCTTAATTTCTTCATTGACCCACTGATCATTCAGGAGTATATTGTTTAATTTCCATGTATTTGTATGGTTTCCAAAATCCTTTTGTTATTAATTTCTTGTTTTATTTTGTTGTGGTCAGGGAATATGGTTGATATTATTTCAGCTTATTTGAATGTTTTAAGACTTGATTTGTAACCTAACATATGGCCAGTCTTTGAGAATTATCCATGTGCTGAGGAAAAGAATGTGTATTCCGTAGTTTTGGGGTGCAGTGTCCTGTAAATATCCATTAGATCCATTTTGTCTGTAGTACAGATTAAGTATGATGTTTCTTTCTTGATTTTCTGTCTTGAAGATCTGTGCAATGCAAAGCATGGGGTATTGAAGTCTCAAGCTATTATTGTATCAGGACCTTTTTCTTTAGCTCTACTGATACTTGCTTGTGTATCTGGGTGCTCCAGTGTTGGCTAAATATATATTTAAAAAGGTTATATCCTCTTGCTGAATTCACCCTTTTATCATTAGTGACCTTCTTTGTCTCTTACAGCTTTTGTCTTAAAATCTATGTTTTCTAGGTATAGTGATGACTCTTGTTCTCTTTCAATTTCCATTGGCACAGACTATATTTTTCCATTTCTTTACATTCAGTCTACATGTGTTTTTATAGGTGAAGTGTCTTTCTTGTAGGCAGCAGGTCAATGGGTCTTGTTTTTTCATCCATTCAGCCAGGCTATGTTTTCTGATTGGGGAGTTTAAGTTTAATCCTTTTGCATTCAATGTTATTGATAAGTAAAAACTTACTCCTGCAATCGTATTCTTTGTTTTCTGGTCATTTTGTGGTCTTCTCTTTCTTTTTTTTTTTCTTCCTGTCTCTAGTGAAGGTGATTTTCTCTGGTGATCTGATTTAGTTTCTTGCTTTTAATTTTTTGTGTATTCATTGCATGTTTTTCTGGTTTGAGGTCGATGAAGTTTGCAAATACTATCTTATAAGTCTTATTTTAACCTGATAACAACGTAACACTGTTTGCATAAACAAACAAGTGAAAAGAAAACTAATAAAAACTCTACACCTTAACTTTGTCTCCTGGTTTTTTATCTTTTTTTTTCTGTTTCTGTTTATATCTTATTGTACTGACTTTGTCTTAAAAACTTGTTGTAGTTATTATTTTTTTATTGGTTCATCATTGAGTCTTTCTACTGAGGATAAGGGTAATTTACACAACATAGTTACAGTGTTATAGTAGTCTGTGACTTTCTTTGTACTTATCATTACCAGTGAGTTTTGGACCTTCAGGTGATTACTTACTGCTCATTAATGTTCTCTTTCTGACTGAGGTACACATTTTAGTATTTCTTATAGGACATGCCTGGCATTGATGAAATCTGGGAAAGTCTTTATTTCTCCTTCATGTTTGAAGGATATTTTAACCAGATATACTACTCTAAGGTAGGAGTTTTGTTCCTTCAGCACTTTAAATATGTCATACCTCACTCTCTCCTGGCCTGAAAAATCTGCTGCCAGATGTATTGAGGCTTCAATGGATGTTATTTGCTTCTTTTCTCTTGCTACTTTTATGATCCTTTCTTTATCCTTGATGTCTGAAAGTTTGATTATTAAGTGGCTTGAGGTCTTCTTTGGGTTAAATCTGTTTAGTGTTCTATAACCTTCTTGTTATTGCATACTAGTATCTTTCTCTAGGTTTGGGAGTTCTCTGTTATTATCCTTTTGAATAGACTTTCTAGTTCATCTTTCTCTCTACCTCCTCTTTATGACCAATAACTCTTAGATTTTCCCTTTCGAGGCTATTTTCTAGATGCTGTAGGCATGCTTCATTGCTTTTTATTCTTTTTTCTTTTGTCTCCTATGACTGTATATTTTCAGAAAGCTTGTTTTCAGTCTCACTAATTATTCTGCTTTATCAATTCTGCTATTAAAGGACTCTGATGCATTATTCAATATGCCAATTGCATTTTCAGCTCCAGAATTTCCGCTTGACTTTTTTTCTTTTTCTTTTTTTTTTTTTGAGATGGAGTCTCTGTCGGTCTCTTGCCTAGTCTGGAGAGCAGTGGCTGTGATCTTGGTTCACTGCAACTTCTGCCTCCCAAGTTCAAGCAATTCTCCTCCTGCCGAAGCCTCCCAAGTAGCTGGGATGACAGGCATACACCACCATGCCCAGCAAATTTTTGTATTTTTAGTAGAGATGGGGTTTTACCATGTTGGTCAGGCTGAGTCTGAAACTCCTGACCTCAAGGGATACACCCGCCTCAGCATCCCAAAGTGCTGGAATTACAGGCATGAGCCACCATGCCCAGCCAATATTATTTCAGTCTTTTTGTAAAATATATCTGATAGAATTCTGAATTGCTTCTCAGTGTTTTTTGAATTTTTTAAAATTTTCTCAGCACAGCTATTTTAAATTCTCTGTCTGAAAGGTCACATATCTCTCTGTTTCTCAGATTGGTCTCAGGTGCCATGAGCTCATTTGGTGAGTTCATGGTTTTTTAGATGGTGTTGATACTAGTGTATGTTCTCCACCATCTAGATATTTAAGAGTTAAGTATTTATTGTAGTCTTCACTATTTGGGTTTATTTGTAACCTCCTTCTTGGGATGACTTTCCACATATTTGGAAGGACTTGGATGCTCTGAATTTAGTTGTATCTGATTTTGGGGGTATCCCAAGGCCAGTAGTGCTGTGGTTTTTTGCAGAGTGTCTCACTCTGTTCTGAGCCACCTAAAGCTGAGGGTGGAACAACACAAACACCTCTATTGCCACCACCACTATGATCACACTGGATCATACCTGAAGCCAGCAGTGTTGGGTCTTTCCTAAGGCCTTCTGTAATCACTCCTTGGTTACTGGCTCTGTTTGCTTAAGTGCCTGGGGCTCTACAATCAGCAAGTGGGAACGCCAGCTAAGCCTGCATCCTTCCCTTCAGGGTGGGCGGTTCCACAGGTACTGGTGGATCTAGAAGTGCCACTCAGAAGTCAGAGACTAGAGACAAAAACCTTAGACTCTTGTATTGTATTGTGGCTAAGCTGGCATGGAAACCACACAACGTAGTCCTTCCAACTCTTCTTTCCTTCCCCTTTGCAAAGACAGAGAAGCCTCACCCCATAGATACCACCAACCCAGGCCACATGGAGTACTGCCAGACTACCACCAATGTTCCCTTCAGGCCCACTGCCTCTTTAAGTCAGCTTGTGAGTGCTGCCTGGCCTGGAACTCAACTTTCAGGGCAGTGGGCTCTCCACTGGCCCAGGACAGGTCCAGAAATTCTGTCGAAGAGTCAAGTTCTGGAATTGGGGACCCCAAGGGCTGACTTGGTGCTCTTCTCCACTGTGGCAGTGCTGGTACCTAAAGTGCAAGACAAAGTCCCGTTTACTTTTCCCTCTGCTTTTCTGAAGCAGAATGAATTTTGCCCTTAGCCACTACAACTGGTCAGTCATTTGCTGAGTCTTATCTGAAGCCAGCAATTCTCACCCAAGGCTCTCAATGTAGTACCTGGGTATGGGTGCTGGTTATTCTAGTCACAAGGCCTCTTCACTTAACAGGTGATGAATACTGTCAGGACTGGTGTCTTTCCTTTAAGGGAGTGAGCTCCCTTCTGGCCCAAAGTGTGTCTAGAAATGTTGTCTGGGACCTAAGGCCTGAAATGAAAGGGCCTCACAACTCTGACTCGTGCTCTGTCCTTCTGTAGCTGAGTTGGTATGCTAGATGCAAGACAAAATCTTCCTCACTCTTCCCTCTCTTCTCCTCAAGTGGCAGGAAGGGGTTTCTTTTGGAACCTGGAGCTGTGCAGACTGGGATTAGTGAAGGGGTGATACCGGGACTCCCTTGTCTACCCCAGCTGGTGTCTCAGTATGTCAGGTGCCTCCAGTTCACTGTCTATGAGCTTAATTCACTAAGACTTGCCCAAGAGTTGCAATCAATCCCTATGGCCTAGTCTGCTTTTTGAGTTAACTTGGAGACACAGTGCTGTAGTCCTGTGGTGAAGTTGTTTCTTAAGCAGTCAAGTTTGGACTGCTGCATAGAGGATTACCCTCCGGCTAGGGCTGGTTTAAATGCTCCCTCTGTGGGCAGGTGTCAGGTGAGTTGGTCTGGTTTTCCTTTCTGCTCTAACAGTACAGCACCAATTTTATTGTCTCACAATTGCTATGTTCTTCCTCCCCACCCTCAGAGATTCTCTCTGTACCACACTGCCACTGCCCAGGTTGAGGAGGGATGGTGTCCAAGATTCAGGACTGTTAATCTCTAAAGTGCCTCTTTCAGGAATATAAAGTTCAGGCCAAGTACTGTGAATGCTCACCTGACGTGGTTCTTATTAAAGTCTGTGTTTTTTCTGTACAGATAGTTACTAATCTGGAGTTTTTTATTCCATCATTTTGCATTTTGTTCCATCCTCTGGCTGTTTTAGCTGTCCTGGATCTTCTATCATTCCATTCGAAGTTGAGGATTCTTTTTTCTATTTCTGTGAAAGATGTCATTAGAATTTTGATGGAAATTACACTGAATCTATAGATCACTTGATATAGGATATTTTAAAATATTTATTCCTCCGATTCATTAAGAAGAGATATCTTTCCACTTATTTGTGGCTTCTTGAATTTGTTTCATCAATGTTTTATGGCTTTCAACATACAAGTGCTTTATCTCTGGTTAGCTTTATTCCTAAGAATTTATTTTTCAATGTTATTGTAAATGTTGTTGTTTACTTGATTTCTTTTGTTCATTGTTGATATGTAGAAATGGAGTTGACTTTTGTATTATGATTTTGTGTACTGAAACTTTGCTAAATTCATCTGCTAGTTGTAGTGGTTTTTTTTAAGCAGGATCTTTAGAGTTTTCTACATATGTAATCATGTCACCTGCAAAGAGATAATCTTACTTTTTACTTTCCAATTTGGGTACCTTTGGTTTTTCTTGCCTACTTGCTCTGGATAAGGCTTCTAGTACTATGCTTAATAGAATCTGTGAGAGTGGGCATTCTTGTCCCATTCTTGATCTTAGAGGAAAGACTTTTAGGTATTCACCAATGAGTATGATGTTAGCTGTAGATTTGTTATATTTGGACTTTATTATATTGAGGTACATTCCTTCTATACATAATTTATTGAGTGCTTTTATAAAAAATATGTCTTATTAATGAATGCCCTTTCTCCTTTACCTTTACTAAAATTAATAAAGACTAGTGACTCTTTGGTTTTATATGCAATACTTTAGGTCAGATAACATTTTTCTTCTTTTATAATTCCAAGAAGAGTAAACCATTTATAAGCTCTTACAAATAAATTATCTTGTGTTTACAATGTTTACTTTAATCTAGAAATGCTAAATAGTTATAAATGTGAACCTGCTCAAAGACTGAATATACTATGCCATCTTTTTTTGGTCTCATATGTATTTAATATTTCCAGGTGTGTTAATCACAGGCAACGGTCCCTAGCCTTGGGAATACAATTTACACTCCTTCGATTATTGGGTATGCAATTTTTCTTTATTCATTGGTAACTGTTGGCTATTTTGATTCATTAGTGTTATCGATTTTTAAATTTATGGCATGTGGCAAAAAAAATTAAAACATAATGGAAGAATACATCATTCTTTTTGAAGGAAGCCATTTTCTAATGTTTCAGATATAGGATTTTTTACATTTTGCATACTTTTAACCTACCTGACTGGTTACCTCTTCCAACTCTGTTGCTAATAATACCTTCAAAGGTGTATCGTGTCTATTTGAAATATAAAATATGATCATCACCACATAATTACTTTTCTTTCTGCTTTTATCTCTATTTGCTAATGTGTTACATTAGCAACTAAAAATGATTAAAATATTTCAATAGCACTAAAAATGATGTTAAAATATTTCAATAGCACTAAAAATGATGTTAAAATATTTCAGTAGCAATTGTGGTATGGATATTGTAACTAGTTAAGAATTACTGTGAGAAAGAATTTATACCAGAGAATTTTATAAAGTTCCAGATGCAGGACAAATTACAAGAAAGACAGACATAGTAAATGTAATATTAAGGTTATTTATTAAAACAAAAACAAAAAGTTAGGACAATAGAGTTACCTAGTCCAACTTTCCAAGTTTTTCAGATGAGTAAATTAAGGCCCTGAGAAGTGCAGGGTTTTGCCCATAGTTATACAAGTTGTGGTAGAAATGAAACTAGGAAAATGATTTCTAACTCTGTGTCTAGTTCTTGGACTGTATCATGCTACAGATCATGAAAGAACAGATTGGATGTAGCTGAAATCTTTGTCTAAGAATTACTACCTCAAATGATTGGAAGTTCCTTAACTATATGGAAGCTGAGTTCCTCATGTCTTTTTGGAGATGGTGGCGGGTATATAAGATAGTGATATTACTAGATATGGTATTATAAGACTGTATATCTGTGTGTGTATATATATATATATATATACACACACACTGATACACACAGAGACCCATGTTAGTTTATATGCACATGCACACCTAGATGGATTTAACATATACTGTAGTTTAACAGATTTATTTGTGCATCATAAATTTATATGATTTTTTAAAAGTATAATAGCTAATTTCAAAGGCATATTTATTATATTAGAAAAGCAGTGAATTATGTAAATATTAGCCTAATATATATTAGCTATTTCTATTAAAATACTTTTCTTAATTGATTAGAAATACATAGTAATTACATATAATTATTTTATTTTAGAATATTATATCTGCTTTGTATTCCTTTGATTTGTACAAGAATTGATTAATTTGCATGTGGACAGATGAATACCTATTTTTATTTCTATAAAATATATGTATGACCATGTATAAGAAGATCTGTAATTATGAACTGTACTCTTTACCCATGTGTAATTACCCATAATTCTTTTAGGAACAATACCTGGACCAATTATATTTGGTATCACGATAGACAGCACATGTATTCTTTGGGATATAAATGATTGTGGAATTAAAGGAGCTTGCTGGATTTACAATAACATCAAGATGGCCCATATGCTAGTAACCATAAGTAAGTGGTAACTTCTTGATAATTCTTGATAATTTTAGAGTAAACTAAGAATGTAAAAAAAAAAATCACGTTGTTGGTTACTTAGAGTCACAGTTGTTTTGGAACATTTGGCCCACATTGTTGAACTATTCAGTAGTTTTCCTGAAGCAGAGAACAGTTTTCACAGAATGTTATGAAAAGCTTTGAACAGATGAAGTCTGCAGGGCTCAGTATTACATACAAGAAAATAAAATTCTAGCTTTCATTACATCAGACAGTATAGACTTTTCTTTTAACAGCTTATCTCAAACGTTTTTAAAACGTATACTTGAAAGCTAAAAGAGAATTCTGAGAAACTCCCTGGAATGATTGTCATCTAGGTATTTAGGTGTTGTAAAACACGTACAGCTGAGGTAGGGAAGCATCCTTTTTCTCTCAGGCACATTGTAAGGAACGTTTTTGTAGTTCAGAAGCTTAGCTGTGATGTTTAATTCTTTTTACCTTTTGCAGTTTGTATTGTCTTATTGAAACAGTGAACAAAATGTAAGGTAAGGTTAAGGAAGTAGAACAGTGTATTTAGTTGGTACTAGTAAAATAAAAATTGAGATTTAAAATTTGAAAAATAACCTGAGAAACTAAAATATCTTAAAATAGGAAAATACTGAATGTATACATGCATATGTATTTAATGTGTGATTTTCACTGTGATTCTTTTGACACAGTATCAAGATAGGCTTATTATTATTCTTACATGCATGTAAATCCAGAGTATACTTTCTGAGTTGACAGTGACAGAGTAATAGAATATTTGCTGAAGAAATAAATGTATAAATTCATAAACTACTTGGGGAGTAAGTATTGACAAGTATAGGTAAAATTAATCATCCCATAACTTTTACCAGTTGTTAAAAACCATTTTTTATTCAGTGTTTTTAATTACATATTTTTATCATGATTATGACTACATACAATATTTTTATGTTTAAAATCCATTTAATTAGTTTTGTTTGTACTTTTTGGTCAAAGATATCTATAATGAATTGTTCATTATCTTACTCAATGATGGATGTGAGAATATCCCCCATAAAATATATGAAAACCTTAAAATTTTCAGAAACAAATAAAAGAATGTTGTAATTTGTACCTATGTAACTATTCTATAAATCTAGTAATGCCTAGTTGAACAAGCATTCTTGTTTGCAAATACATGATTTTTAAATACAATATTAATAATCAATAAAAAGAACCCAGCTACTATAAGAACTATACTGTGAGACCACATTTAATTTATTTGGCTGGCACTTAATAGGTGCTTATACTGTGATTGGAAATAGTTTCTCCTCATATAACTGAGCTCAAAATCAGATTTACTTAAAAACAAATCAAAGTTTGTGAAGTGAATCTTAATGTTTCATATTTTTATCTGACAACAAGGGTAGATTTGGTTAAGTATTGAGTGTGACATACTCCCACAGACATTTTCTCTTAAGAACTCTAAAATCTATTTTATTTTTAGAATTGTTTTCTAGCCTGGGGATGTTCTGTAATTTATTCAGGTTCATGTATGTTATAAACCAGTTTCCCTTATTAACTTTTGATAATTTTTTTATAGATACAGTATTATGTTAACAAATTATTTATTTATTTATTTATTTTTCCTTATCTACTGGTACTATTTTACTATATTACAAATTATTTATTTTTGAGACAGGGTCTTGCTTTGTCACCCAGGCTGGAGGTCAGTGGCATGATCTCAGCTCACTGCAACCTCTGCCTCTAGGGGTCAAGTAATCCTCTCACCTCAGCCTCCCAAGTAGCTGGGACTACAGGCTCATACCACTACACCTGTATATATTTTGTACTTTTTTTGGGTAGAGACAGGGTTTCCTATGGTGACCAGGCTGGTCTTGACCTCTTGGGCTCAAGACATCCACCTGCCTCAGCTTCCCAAAGTACTGATATTATGGGCATGAGCCACCCATCTGGCTTGTGTTAACAAATCTAGAAGTAGAAGATGAATTTATGTAGTCCTATACAGCACTTATTTTATAAGAATGCACAAACATAACCAAGAATAAGATAATTATTATACTTTTATTACTGCTTAGAAAGAAAATAAATATTAATGCACTGAATTGTATACAAATGTTTTTTCTTTCCCCCTAATGTTTTAAAAATTTTAAACATCGAACTGTAATGGCTATGTAATTATTCTCTTTAATATGTTTCTATTCATGAAGATTTTTCACAGTGATAATTTTTGTCACTGAGAAATTAAAGACAAAAACGTGTGACTAATTTTTTTTTCTCTTAGGTGTTACTTGTAAAGTTATCACCATTTTCTTCAATGGATTTGCAATCTTTTTGTATAAACCACCTCTGTCAGCCACAGATGTGTCATTTCACAATCAGAATGCAGTTGTGACTAATGTTTTAGCAGAACAGGATCTCAACAGAGTAGGAAAAGAAGGATGAAATGGAAAAACAGAAGACTGTTTACACCTGAAAAATTTACCTCGATTTTTAAGAACACACATTGCCATGGCAGCATTATTTATCCAATATGGACAATCATATTTAAAAAGTTGATGTTTTTATAATCAGATGTATTTTTATTTTACATAAGTGGTTTTTGTTTCATGCAAGAAACAGACATGTGCCTTCAAAGCCCACCAAAAACCTCAAAACACACACACACACACACACACACACACTTATTTCTCATTCCCATTCTCTAGGTATGAAATCCTCAAGTAATAGCAAGAAAAAAGGCCCACAATTAGTTAGAAAAATTAACATTAAAAAAAGTGATGTTTCTATCCCCATTACAACTTGTTTAATTTTAATTTTCATTGCCAATATTTTGAGCTTAGAATGTTTATGGTATAAAAATTTGAACTAATGAAAGTTGTATGATGAATTCTGGGAATTATTACTGAAAGCCTATGAATTTAAAACCAGGTTTATTATGTAATTTGTTTTTAAACTAGTCTGGCCTTTCTTTCTCAAAGCAAGTTATTGAACTGTTGGAATATGTTAGTTATTTTCCCTGTGTCCTGGTATATAGTGAATACAAAAACATCAGCATTGTACACACATATTTTCACTTTAACTAAAGAATTCCAGGAAATAATTTATTGATATTACAATTTCTAACACTTTTATGATTCTGTGATAGTATTATTCAATTACACATATTTCAGAGGAAAGTACCAGTCAGTAAAGAAAAATGCCAACTAAACATGAAAGTATTGATCAATACTTATATACCTAGTACTTTAAGTTTTCTTCTTTGAAAAGCGAATCACTTAACACGTTACGCATAGCACCTAAAACAGTGCCTTGCATATAGTAGTCATTTATTATTGTTGTTTAATTAAAACATTAAGCCTTACCCCTTAACACAGCAGTCCCCAGCCTTTTTTGCATCAGGGAACATTTTTGTGGAAGACAATTTTTCCATGGGGGAAAGAGGGTACAGTTTTGAGATAAAACTACTCCACCTCAGAATTGGTTAGATTCTCATAAGGAGAGAGCAACCTAGATCCCTCGTATGTGCAGTTCACAATGGGGTTTGCACTCTTATGCAAATCTAATGCTGCTACTGATCTGACAGGAGGTGGAGTTCAGGCCATAATGCTGGCTCACCTGCAGCTCGTTCACCTACTGTGTGGCCTGATTCCTAACAGGCCACACACAGCCGAGAGTTGGGACCCCTGCTTTAACTGATGCATTGATTTAATAAAGTATTTTGTAAGCCTGATTATGTTATAACTCTATTTATTCAGGTCAGATTTATGCCAACTTTGCTGAGAATATGGAGGGTATAGATCAGTGAACATCAACAAATATAACTTCTACCATAGTTAAGAATTTTACTTATTAAGAAAAGTATTGAAGTTCAAATCCAGATATTATTGCATTTGAAATTTTTATAAGGGTTATTCATTTAATGAAATTCATTATCACATTTCCCATATAAGTTTGTCTTAGGTTGGTTTTCCACAAGCAGTGTTTTATACACACCATAATCAGGGTAACCCAAGCTTAGTGTTAGCTAGATCTTGTAGGAAACCAGGGTTAGAAATACTAGAAATTTGCAGAATTTAAGAAATTATGTTTTATGATAATCTATGGCCAAGGATGATAGAGCCTAGTGCAATTGTAAAGTGAAATTCAAGGAGAAGGAAAGAGAAGTTAGGCAGGCAAACATGCTTGAATATTAGAGAAGGAGAGGAATCAGAGAGACCTACTAAAACCAGACAGATATAAACACCAAAGACAGAGGCCAAATAGCCAAAAATCCAGATATTTGAGAAACAGGAAATTTATAGCAACCAAAGAAATAGGGCAAGATAGGCAGGGGAACACACGTGCTACCTCAATTAACAATCTCCCTCCCACCAAGCCAGATTGTAAATGCTGCTTCTTATTAGAGTCCAGAAAAAAGGAAAGTCCAGGCTTTCTGTGTCCTATATGTGGAAGCAGGAAATTGGATTGAAGACTTTCATAGTAAAATTATGGCAAATCCTGAGGAACTCACTGATAGAGATGTGAAATGACAGTAAGGAAGAAAACAGAATAACTATGCAAATATATTAGTCTAGGGCTGCTTAATTTAGAGGAAGAAAAATATCACCCATCCATAGGAATAGTTTGATAAACAGGTCACTAAGTATTCAGAATTTATAAAGATTCTTAGTTATCAAGGGCTGTGTTGTATTTTATATACTCAGTTTTATAAGGTGATAGTTTTTAAATAAGCTTTTTAATGAAAGTGGTTAAACTGAAAATAATTTTTGTACTTAAAGGGAGTCAGAAGCCTTTATATATAATGTATATATTTTAAAAGAATATCTCCTTTATAATAGGGCTTTATGGACACTACTGTAATTTATAATAATTGTTTTTCACTTTTGGGTTCATCTTGATCATATGAGTTGGTATGATACTTCTGGAACAAATTATTCATAGTGTGTTTTTTATAATTTATGATTTTTAAGTAAGATTGACTTATAAGTTGACATTGTAATTTTGTACATAATTGGATATATGTCTTAAAATTTAACATCTAAATTTATTTAATTGTAAAAAATACAAATGTAAAACTTATACATGAAAAGAACTGTATACAGTTGACTTTACTATATAAATTGGAGGAAAACAAAGTTTTAAATCCATTTTCTTTATTGTAATGTATGCAAAATATATATTCATACCATTTATTAAATCATAATGTTTATGCTAAATTGTTGTAAGTGTTTGAGCTTATTAAATGACACAGGTTTGAAACAGCTTATTTCTGTGAACATAAGCACATTTTATGGATGGGAAAGGGAAATATTATACTTTTAAACATGGTGAATGTATTAATAATTTAATCCAGTGATTTCTCATATCTCAACAGATGTTTCTAATTCAATACAAACCACATTTATTATGAAATATATACCAGGAAAATTCTCTTACACAATAGTTTCTACATATGACAGATTAATATACAAGAGTTACATGAGTAGAACACATTTTGCAGATGGTTTATTTGTAAATATCTGATACAAAAGTGTCAGATATATTTAATTTATCTGTTTATTTTAATAGTAAAAGATTTTAAGGAAATAATATTGAATGTTAGTTTGAAATATAATGTTCCTTTCCCCTTCTAAATACAATGCATTTAGGTTCCTTCTGCTTTTTTCGGCAGCAAAGTCCAATAAACATGAACTTTTACGGTACATATGAGTAATCAAAAACAGATAAATGACATAATCCACTTTAAAAAACTCAGTAAGTATATTGGGATTATAATGTTTAGTGCTAATGTTTTAGCTTCAGCTAAAATTAAGTTTATAAAAATTATCAAGAATTGATATATTTTTTCTTCCCAAATTTAGTGTGTCTGATTTCCTATTTAAAACCATTTTGTAATGCTTTTAGACTTTGTAAAATAGCACACATAAAATTTCTCTATCAGCTTTCCCTGGTGTTAATATTTTAAAAATCCATAGAACAATTACCTAAAACTAGAAACAATTACCAAGAAATTAGCATTGGCATGATACTATTAACTAATCTACAGATTTTATTATAATTTTGCCAATCATAACACTAGTAGTGACAGGGACAGGAAGCAGGGAAATTCTGGGCAGAAGAGAGAGGTCCCAGCAAAGGCCCCACTCTCAAGCCTGGGAACCACAGCCCAAAGTGAGAACATGCATTCCTGTTTTCATGTTCAAATGTTGCCTTTTCCAAAACCACCCATGGCCCACTCCCCTTACCATCCTGTGCACAGAAAACCTCAGATTCTGCCAGGAGAGCAGGATAGGAGAAGAGGAGAAGCAGCTGGACATTGGAGACTATGGTTTGAGGTTGGGGAGAAGAAGTCTGGGTGGCTAGAATTTGGGAAAAGATTACCTTCCTGCTCAATCCCTTTCCAGCTCCCCTTCCTGGTGAGAGCCACTTGCATCGGCAATAAAATCCTTTGCATTCACCACCCTGCAATTCTTTCATGCAACCTAATTTTTCCTGGATGTTGAACAAGAGCTCAGGTGCCACGGGTACAAATGCTAAAGGCTATCACACTGACTCTCTACCCTCACTGGTGGAGAGCAACTGCCTCACACGAAAAGGCAGAGGAGCCCACTGAGCTGTTTCACACTTAAGCCATCTGCAGATGGCAAAGCTAAAAGAGCACTGTAACACATGCCCCTGGGACTTCGGGGGTCACAGGTACTTCCCACTAGATGCTGCCATGGGGTCTGCATGGAGTTTTCTGTTGGTGTCCAAAAGCACTCACCCTGGCTCCTGCACCCATTCACTTATGTGCTCTCTTCTGTAAGGGTTGAGCACAACAGGTTCTAGTGAGTGGAGTTTGCCCCTGCTGGCACCAAAGCAACCAGCTAGCTCCAGTGCCCACACTCCAGTTTCCATCTGCAAAGGGATCAGGGTAATTTCCTGCTTCAGGGGTCTTTATCTGATCTGAACCCAGTCAAGAATCTTATGTTAAATTTATTACTGCTTCTTAATCTTTTCCAATCTGGAATGGTTCCCCAGTCTTTCTTTAGGATATATTTCCTCTCTATTTCTATGTATCAAATAACTCTAAACTTAGTGGCTTAAAACAGGAAACGTTTATTATCTTACCATTTCAGTGTGTCAGGATTTCAGGAGCAGCTGTGCTGGGTGGTTCTGGTTTGAAGTCTCAAGTGATCTCAATAATGATGTTGGCTGGGGCTGTAATCATCTGAAGGCTTCTCTGGGATTGAATAATCTTGTAAGAAAGTGTGCTCACATGGTTGTTTGAAAAAGAAGGATGAAGTTATTCTTTGACATGTGAGCCTCTTCATAGGTCTTGTGACATGGCTGCTGACTGCCTCAGGTTAATGACACATAGGAGAGTGAGAGCAACCAACACTGAAATCACAGGGTCTTATATGACTTAATTTTAGAAGTCACATATTATCTTTTCTACCACAGTCTACCAGTCATACAGATGACCTTAGTAATCTTAATTCTAGCTGCAAAGTCCTTAAAAGGATTTAAAAGAACTTTTCAGTAAACTACAATGCCTTGATTCATATTTGGTTGTGATAATCCATGGAGGAGAAGATGTCTTTACAATTCTGCCTCCCACGTCTGGTACTGGGTGGGAAGAAAAGACAAAAGGTGAATACCAAGAGGCATGAATGTTGTGATTATCACTGGGATTATATTGGGGGCTGGCTCCCATACATTACCATGACAATTTTGAAGAGGATCTGCCAGTTATTTTGTAGAATACACATCAATTTGGATAAGTCTGATGTTTTCTTATGATTATATTAATATACTTTTTTTGTAAAAATGATACCAGGCTCTTCTCAGCACACACATTATTGAGTATATGTTGTCTAAATATGACAGAACTTCAATCACTTGGTTAAGGTGTCTGCCAGCAGTGATCACTCCAATTTTATTTTCTCCTGTGTTATTAATAACTAGCTCTTGAAAGAATGCTTTGAGACCATACAAATACCCGGTTCTCAGCAAACTTTCATACACTAATTTTAGCGTCCATTTATGATTCTTGCATGCTTAATGTGGTTTTTGCTAATAGTGATTTTCCATATTCATCACTTCTTTAACGTTTATTAATTGGCATTATAATCTAACAAAGAAGTGTCCCTTCCTCTGTTTCTCAATTATTTGTATAAATATAAATTAATTGACATTTATTTTATTCTATAAGGTTATTATCCACTAGTTTTCTTCTTGTCAAATTGTTTAATATGTGGACATTGGAGCCTCATTGTGTTGGCTCCTGCATTTTTTGGATATATATACATCACTATTTGAGCACATCTTTACTGTCTAACACCACAAGATACTCTAGGCTCCTCTTATGCTTTCTGTTATTTAGGGATTGAATAATTGCATTTGAAAACCAAGATGTGCATGTTAACATACATAACATCTATTTCCATATTAATTTATGTGTGTATGAATATGGATACCTCCAAGTGCAATCCAACACCATAGAGTTCATGTTAATCTTCCTTTTCCTCATTTGTAAATACTTTCTCTAAGAGTGAGAAACCTGGCTCTTATTATCCACAACGCGTTACTTGTCCAATACTACATAATTAGTTTCTAGTGCTGACATGACAGATTACTACAAATTTTATGTCATAGGATAATACCCATTTATACCTCACAGTTTTGTAGGTGAGAAGTCCAGGCATAGTGTGGTTAAGTTCGTTCTCTGTTCCAGGTTTCACAAGTTGAAATCAAGTTGTTGTCCACGGCCATATTCATTTCTGAAGGCTCTGGGGATGAATTAACTCCCAAGCTCATTCAGGTTGTTGGGCAAATTCAGCTGCCTGGTGATACAGTTTGGCTCTGTGTCCCCACTGAACTCTCATGTCAAATTGTAAACCCCACATGTTGAAAGAGGAGCCTGGTGGGAGGTGATGGGCTCACAGAGGCAGTTTCTAGTGGTTTAGCATCATCCCCCGTGCTGTCTTATGAGTGAGATCTCACGAGATCTGGTCGCTTAAAAGTGTTTAGCACTTCTTTCCACCCTTTTGCTTCACCAAGGTAAAACACGCTTGCTTCCCCTTCACCTTCTGTCATGATTGCGAGTTTTTTGAGACCTCCCAGTCATGCATTCTGTTAAGCCTATCAAACCATGTCAATTAAAGTTCTTTTCTTCATAAATTACCCAGTCTTGGGTAGTGCTTTATAGTACTGTGAAAACAGACTAATACACATGGCAATGTAGGACTAAGGTCCCTGCTTTTTTTTTTTTTTTGCAACATTAGAGGTTGTTCTTCGGCCCTAGAGAACATCCACATTTCCTGATTTATGCAACCCCCTTACTAACTCCATCTTCAAAACCAGCAATGACATGTGGACTCCTCAAGCTTTGAATCTGCCTGACTTCCCCTCTGTCTCATCTTTCTTTCTCTCTCTTTTGTTGCTTCTTTATGACCCTAGTTGGATAAAATTATCTCTGTTTTTAAGAGCTCAAGTAATTAGATTAGGCCAACCTGGAAAATTTGGAAAAACTCTGTTTTAAGATCCATTATCTTAATTACATTTACAAAGTCTCTTTACCACAGTATCTAGTTAAGAGCTTCTTTGAATAGGCCAGGGGGTGGGAATGTTGGGGAAGCATCTTTAGAATTCTGTCTACTACACTTTATAAGCACACAAATTAGTTTCAGTATTTCTGCATGTGCCCTGTAAAAACCCGATCTGCTGGAATGATGGAATGAGTAGTTCATCAAATCCTCTCCTAAAATGCAGGAATACAACAAAACCAGACAAAATTGTCAGAAAACAACCACTTCAGCACCCTGGAAATCAAACACAGGCATATGACAGACTGGGAAATATTTATTCAACAGAAAAACCTATGAAATCTTGTGTAAGAAAAGCGGACCGGGCATAGTGGCTCATGTCTATAATCCTACCAGCTTGGGTGGTTGAGATGGGAGGATCACTTGAGCCCAAGAGTCTGAGACCAGCCTGGGCAACAGACTTCAACACAACTATTACAAATATGCTCAAATAACTGAAGAAACCATGTTTAAAGAGTTATATGAAATTATGATAAAATAGCTTAAAGAGAATATTAATAAGGAATAGTTATGGAAAAGAACCAAAAGGAAATTTTGGAATTGAGAAGTATAGTAACTGTAATGAATGAGAAATTCACTGGGGAAGCAACATCAAATTAGAAATGTCAGATGAAATACTCAGC